ATCGTTGAAACCGTGGGTGCCGGAACACATGCGATAGGCCTGTAGCAAGGTGGGCGCGAATCAATCAACGTTAACGCTAGCGGTTTGTGAGTACAAGGGAAGATGCTGTTCGAGAATTTATTATCCGACTTTTTCTTGTTTTATGGATGAGCCGCTAACGCGAGTCTCAGTTCCTCCGGAATTCTCCATTTGCCTCTTTCTTCCTCCACCGCTGACCGACTAATTTGACCCTTTATCGTTACAGCATTTGGATAGCCAACTAAATCCAGTTTCTAATTTTTGACATCCGTCGGTTGTCTCTCAGATGAACACGTGACCAGTCAATATTGCTTGACGTTGTAGAAAGCGGAAACGACGTGCTGTCGAGATTGTGCGATTGGAACGTGCTCCAGGAGGGACACCTTCTGCACTTTTGCTCCAGCTCTCTTTGCATGGCCACCGGTTTGTCCTTCTCTGGTTTTGAATAACAGATGAACATTCAAGGCGAGTAGCAACGTTAAATCAGTCAGTGATTTCTTCGCCCGCATCAGAAACTCTATTCTGAGTGATGCGCTTAAAGCTGGATTTTGCCATCCTCCTTATGTCGCTCCCCCTGTCTAGCGAGTTCATTTGGTCCACCTGAGGACAAATACATGCAAAGCTAGTGATTTCATCGAGATCTTCGTCATTAGCCCAGATAGAATCCTCAGGGAACTGCACGCTTGGCATCCATGTGGTCTTCGGGTGGTCAGACTCCAAGCCATTGGTGAGAGCATCTATATGCAAATGCTGGATTTTCTGTTGGAGCTCCATCATGTATTATACAGTCATCCTCATATAACAAGTGCACTATCTGATCTCCATAAACACTGATGCCTTTGTCCCCGGGTTGTCTGGTTAAGGAATGACTCTGAGGACGCGGCGAACAGTGCTGGTGAGGTGGTATCTACATGGCGCACTCTTCGACTAATACCCATGCGATATGGTTGCCAGTGTTCATTTCCTCACTGATGCTGATGAACAGGGTTTATGTCATGCATATACACGAAATTTACCAGCCATCAAATCGATCGAATCGAACGTCTTCTTGTTGTCGATGAAAGCAAGGCAGCTGCACTTACTTGTGTTGCACTAATCAATCAGCTACTGGTCTACTTGTTCCTGCTCGATGTTGAGATATTTGATAGAAAAATAGCTTGTTCCAACCTTGTGACAAGCTCGAGTCCTTCAAAATACGGTGCAGAACAATCAGAGAGACGACATTGTAGATTTAGAGCTGAAGTAGTTGATTAATCGATCGTTCTTAGAGTGTTTGGAATTGCCTGTCTTCCTGAGAATATCTTCTATCTATCTAGAAAATATCTTCTAGATATTTCCCACACTTGAGACGTCCTTTTCTACCGGATATGTTCTGTAAAACTCTGGACAGAGCTTTAAACAGGATCGTAGTTCCTGCTTGAAGGTGTTTGCCTAGGCACTTGCCATTGTTGATGTTCCTGATTATCCTCTCAGCTCTTTATCCCATGTGACTGATAGAAGAGGGTCTGCGGCAGCTTCCGGCTCACGCCTACTTTCGAACAGTACTGGCTGTCATACCACTTTGTGCAGATCCCGTTCATCCTGTTGATCTGTCAACAACGTTCGTGTATTTTGACCAGGGAAATCTTGATGAAATCCCGCCGGTCCGTTTACCTATGGCCTCTTGTAGTTCACCGAGTCCTAGGAGGTAGTGAGGGTGACACGGCAGCCTGCTCATAGTCTCTTGCTTTCCCCTCCTCATTGAGCGTTGCTTGGCGAATAATGGCTTTCACAGTTCATTCTGGGTCGTGAACTTTCGTGGATTATTGTCAGCGTATCCCCAAGATTCATCCAACATAACAGATACAGACACATGGACCATTCTGTGATGATTGGGTCGCGGAAAGATGTCATCAGGCAGTGTGGCGGGCAACGCCACGGTCTCAACCTACTGTAGTGGGCTCCTACTCCACTTCCAGGCCCGCCCTCTTGTAGCAGGAGAGACGGAGAAAAAATAGTGTCCAACTGTCTTCAGCCTCAGATTTTCTCAACTGAGTCCCTTGAATGCCTCTTCCTGGATTGTATTGATTATCTTCGATGATATTGCATCACTCTACCAGACTGCCTTTGAAATTTTGAGTTTGCTTGTGCCGCAAGACGTTGAAGGTTGCCGGATGAGAATGCTGTTGTCTGTTAACGATTTTAGTTGCTGCCGATGCCCAGGTATTAAAATGAGGTGCAAAACGATAAATTGTACTTATAAGCTAAGAACTCACTGCAAACCATAGAAGACCCTAGTACCTCGTTTCGGAGGGTAGTTTCCTTCCGTCTTTCATAGCATGGTTTTCGACAGTCTGACCCCACCCCGGGCAAGTGGGTTCCGTTGAAGTGCAAAGCAGATGAGCCATGTTGCTGTGAGCTGACCAGTTTGCCTTGTTTACTTTGACAGCGCACATGCCCTGTGATT